GAACCCCGCCAGCCTCCCCAGCCTGGCTCCTGCCAAAGGAGCTGCTGATTGAACGGAATCACAGAACGGTTTGGATGGGAAGGGACCTTAAAGATTATCTAGTTCCAACCCCTCTGCATGGGCAGGGACACTTTCCACGAGACCAGGTTGCTCAAAGCTCCTTGAACGCTTACAGGGAGGGGCATCCACAGCTTCTCTGGGCAACCCGTTCAGTGTCTCACCACCATCACAGCAAAGAATTTCTTTCTCCAGTCTAACCTAAATCCACCCTCTTCCAGCTTAAAGCCATTACACCTTGTCCTATGGCTACATGCCCTTGTAAAAAGTTCCTCCCCAGCCTTCCTGTAGGCCTTCAGGTACTGGAAGGCTGCTATAATGTCTCCTTGAAGCTTTCTCTTGATAGAACAGCCCCAGCTCTCTCAGTCTGTCTTCATAGGAAAGGTGCTCGAGTCCTCTGATCATCTTCATGGCCTTCCTGTTGGAGCACTCCAACAGCTCCATGTACTCCTTATGTTGGGTGCCCCAGAGCTGTTCACAGCACTCCAGGTGGGGTCTCACGAGGGCAGAGTAGAGGGGCAGAATCACCTCCCTTGACTTGCTGGCCACACTTCTTTCGATACAGCCTAGGGCACTTTGGGCTGCAAGTGCACATCACTGGCTCAAGTTGAGCTTCTCCTCAACTAACACCTCCAAGTCCTTCTCCTCAGGGCTGTTCTCAACCGTTTCTCCACCCAGTCTGTATTTGTCCTTAGGATTACCCCAACCCAATGCGCAGGACCTTGTGCTTGGCTTTGTTGAACTTCATGTGGTTTGCACAGGCCCACCTCTCAAGATTGTCAAGGTCCCTCTGGATGGCATCCCTTCCCTCCACTGTGTCTAGTGCACCACACAGCTTGGTGTCATCAGCAAACCTGCTGGGGGTGCACTCAGGCCCACTGTCCATGTCACCAACAAAGATGTTAAACAGCGCAGGTCGTGCTACCAACCCTTGAGGAACTTCCCTCATCGCTGATCTCTACTTGGTGGATGAGATCAGCCTTTAGCATGTGTGCACAAACCCCCTTTCCCTGACAGATTTTGTTGAGCGTGTTCCCTTTTCCCCCTGCCCCTGCTATGTATTTCTCCTGTGCACGCTGTGGGCGGGCAGTTCAGACTGAAAAGTGTTTTGATATCTATATACCCTGCCCTGAGGTTTGCTGCAGCATCATTCGTGTGGCGTCTCCTGTGCCTGTAGGTGATGCTTTTCCTCTGAGCAGCAGGAGTGCAGGACACTTGCAAGTGGGGCTGTGTTTCAGGTGGCTGAGAGGCAGCCCCAGCACCTCCCACATGGCTGGGCACCATGCCTTGATGTAGCAGTGTCTCAGTGGCCACAGGGAAATCTGACAGGGCCTATGAGCTGGAGAGGCTGGGCAGAGCTGGGGCTGGTCTGTTTTCTGGGGCCTTCTCACCTTGCCTCAGTGTCAGCCATCAGGCATCTGTGGCATCACTCCCTGCTTCCACCCCAAACTTCTGCAATGACAAAGCAAAATTTGGACTGACTTTGCTGAATTGGCAGCAAGGGAAGAAGTGTGCAAACATAAATTTAATGTGACAGGGATGCCAGTGAAATTGTTCCTGGCCATGCGCCTGGTGCTGGTCCTGTTGGCAGTAGAGAATGGAGCCACCCAGGCAGTGGCCCTCCACCTCATCTGTCCTCCCTGCCATGTTGGAGCTTAGCATCCCTGTTGATTCCCACACTGCACACATTTCCCAGGCCCTCACATGGTGCATCAAACCACCGCATGCCCCTGCAGGCCAATGAGCTGGACTCCCTGGGTGCAGAGCTCACCAGAAATGGATGCAGCCATGGACCTGTTAACTTGCAAGTATCCATCCCCTTGCAGGTTTTTGCCCCCTTGTACTAAGTGCCTGCAGCCACACAGTCCAGCCCAGCACTGCTGCAGAGATAACTTGAAGAAGCGAGTTTGCTGGGGCACAGAACTGGGCAGTGATGCCTGCTGGCTTCCTGCAGGCAGGAGGGCAGGTTTTGCTTCCTGGTATGGCAAGGGAGTTCCCTGCTTGCTTTCTGCCTGCGTGAGCACTGCTTTGGTCAGTGGCAAGGTGGGGCCAGCAGAGCTGCTGGGGCCGCCTGGTTCCTGGGCTGGCAAAGCAGACTTTCCTGTTTCAGCTGTGCTGTGCAGCCACCATCCCCGCTGCCCCCTCGGCTCTGTGCCTGCCAGGGCCCCGTCTCACCCTGCAGGATGTCCCTGCCACGCACGGCTGGACCAGAAGCCCACACTGTTGGAAAGGCAAACTGAGGCTTGGAAGGAGACACATCGGTAAGTCCAGTTTCGGGAGGCTGGTCAGTACAAGGTGGGAGTGAGAAACAGGGCTGTCCCAGCCCCTTTTCCAGGAGTAGGGATGCTCCAATGCTTCCTGCAAAGCCTACTGAGGCTGTGCTGCCTCTGCCAGACTGCAGCAGGGCTGCCCCCATTTTCCCCAGAACAGCAGCTCAGGTCACCCCATAGGGTGGGGGTGAGGTTCCTTTTTAAACCATGGCCCGTGTCAGACTAATGTGACACAGCACATAGAGCTCTGGCAGCAAAAAGGTGCTAATTCACTCATTCACCTAATCCACCGCTACAGCCCAAAGCCGCAGTCCAGCACCTCCATATCACAGGCAAGTCACCAGCCACCAATTTCCATGTGCAGTGACAGGGGAAACTTGTCATTAAAGCTGCAGGTGGTCCTGGGCAAGTCACTTAACCTGCACCTCATTGCCCCAGCAGTGATGACACGGGTGACAGCAATTCCCATATCCTTCCAGCTGTATTCCCATACGTGGCAAAGCCCTCTGCTGGAATTAAAGACTCTTCCTGGCTTTGTAGGCTCAGCAGAGGGAGGCACTAATGTGGTTTCACCCAGGAGGTTCCCTGTGCAAGGAGCCATGGCCCTGCATGGTGGGTTCACTGTGGGCAGAGGGAAGGCAGAGCGAGGCAGGAGCAGTCTCAGACATGGGCTGGGCGGCTGGGGCAGCCAAGGCAAACAGGCACATACCCGCCAGTGCAGCCCTGCTCCTGGCACACCCCTCCTGCTGCTGCCCCTCACCTGAAAGGAGGCCAGAAGGACGTTTTGGCTATGAGGAAGCATTGCTGCTAGAATAAGAGCCTTGCTGTGGGGAGAGCAGTAATGAAAAATCATTCTGCTTTAAATTTGAAGCCGTCCCTTAAGCTTGTCAGTGTTGTCGTGTTGCTCGGGTGGGGATTACGCAAAGTTTCTGAGCCTGCATGACCCCAGCGTCGCGGCACCGCTGCCACCTGCAGTGTGGGCACAAGTCCCACTGCAAGCCCAGGAGCAAACCCTCCTGCTCCTCAGCCCTGTGACAGGGGGAAAAATAGCCGAAAAAGTTTGTTAGCTAAAGGTGGGGCTTGCCTGGGGCTGAGCAAACCCTTGCTGAGCGCCCTGGCCAGGGAAGAGCAAGGAAGAAAAAGCTCTTGTTTTTTTCCCCCCTACAACCAAGTTACTCCTTTGCAAAAACAAGGGAAAACTCCCTAATCCATTCCCCCACTCCCTCCCCTTTCTGAAAGCAGGCTTGCAACCATCCAAATGAAAAAGCCCACAGGCAAGGGGCTGGCTGGCGCAGAGCCCTCCCTGCCTGCCTCCCTCCAGCTTCATTTCACACTTCACTGCCCAAGTGGCCAAGCCCTGAATACTTACTCTGGGCTCTATGTTTTAATTGTGTTGCTCTATTAAAGTCGTAGGCCACTGTCAGCACACCTACTACTGGAAAGGAAATCCCTACCCTGTTGATTTTGCTTGCATCCCCAGGTCACTCCAGCTTAGCCATGGCAGTGGCAGCCAGGAAAGACAGGGTGACGGGCTCCCCACTCACCAGCAGCCTCGTGGCTGTCACCACCACGGCTCAGCAGGGCTTCCTGGGCAGCTGGCTTAGCCGGATTCCACGTGAGTACGGCTGTGATTGCCCCACTCTCTTGGGCTCTGTTATCCAGGGGGGCTGCCAGACTTTGAGGCTCCCTTTCTGCTTCTCCTCCCTTCAAATCCCTTTTTCCGGTGGGGTCTGTTGGGGTGGGGATGCTGCAGATGCTGCACCACTCAGGGAGTGCAGGGCATCCTTGCTGCCTGTTTGGGCCATGGTCTCCAGCTGCAGCCTCTCTGCATGGGACCTGTCCAGGATTATAGGGCCAATTTTGAAAGTACTGCTCCTTAACACTGAAGCACTAGAAAGGGGTTTAAATGCACTCTGCATGTTTTTGCTTGGATTGAACTCTTCTGTCCATCTCCACTCTGTGAACATTGCACCAGTACCCAAGTGGGCACTCATCGCTGTGGCTGTGGCAGTGGCTGTTCTCCTCCTCCTCTTCCTCATCTGCATCATCAGGTGCTGCTGTGGAAAGAAGAAGCCCAAGAAGAAGGAGAGAGTCAGCTTGCATGCTGTCAGTGGCTCCACCACGGCCAGCCTGGTGTGTCCTGCTTTCCCCTCTCCCCCACCTCCCTCCTCCCTGAGAGGTTTGCTGTCATGTTGCCTGGTTTTGGGGGAGCACAGAACAGCCAGGGATGTGGCTGAGCAGGTCATGACAGTAGTGCTGCTTTCTGCTGCAGGTCCAGCCTGAGATGGAGGACCTAGAGCAGGATGTGGGGCAGACAGGAAGAGGAAAGCTGCAGTATTCCCTGGAGTACAACTTCCGTGTGCAGGAGGTGGGGATGCTCATGGCCACAGCACAGCAGGGAAAAGGCTTTGCTCTTGCATGGTCCCTCTTTGCTGCCCACTGAGGTGGACCATACCCTCTTGCACTTCCCCCCCTGCCTGCTGGCTGCCTTGCCCATGTGGCATGGAAGCATCCTCCCTGCTGCATTCCCTTGCTTCCCACTGAGTCCCTGGTCATCTGGCCCCATCCTCTTCCACCTGGTGACCTTGTGCATCACTCCTTTTAAGCTGAAAGTCGGCGTGAAGCAGGCAGCTGAGCTGAAGGCTATGGATAGCGGAGGCACATCTGACCCCTACGTGATTGTCTACTTGACGTCCGATGTGAAGAAGAAGTACGAGACCAAGGTTTACCGCAAGACCTTGAATCCTGTCTTCAATGAGAGCTTTACTTTCCAGGTAGGAAACTACAGCTGGTGATAATTTTATGGCCCTGCCAAGATGGTTGCCTGGCCACTGCTGCCCGGACACAAGCCTTTAAAGGCAGGGAGATGCCTTTGCCACTAGAATGGGAAAGTACCAGAGAGAAAGACCTGTTGTTGCATCTGCTACCCCATCCTGTCAGGCTGGGCGCCCACCAAGGAGTGAGTCTGATCTTTTGGATCCTTTTCTGCAGGTACCCCAGGCGGAGGTACCTGAATCCACACTGGTGATGCAGATCTATGACTTCAACCGCTTCACCAAGCATGACATCATTGGTGAGGTCCGCCTGCCCCTGGCTAGTGTCAGCCTGCAGCATGTCATTGAGCAGTGGAGCGATCTCGTGGCAGCCAGTAAAGTGGAGGTTGGTCCTTGTGGGTGGGAACCTCTGCCAGGAGGCATGCACTGTTGCTTTTGCTTTGCTTGTCAGCACCCCAAGAAGAAGCCCTTTAGGTTCCAGCCTAGTGCTCCATCCCCAGGTGAGCTGACTCCTTTGCCTGGTGCTCACTGCTGGCGTCTCTCCATCAGGAAGAGCAGCTGGGTGAAATCTGCTTCTCTCTGCGCTACGTCCCCAGCACCAGCAAGCTAACAGTGCTTATCCTGGAAGCCAGGAAGCTGAAGCGGATGGACTCCCATGGGCTCTCAGGTCAGCAAGAGCTGCTCATGCTCAGATCTCCCTATCCCTGCTCAGGCCTTGACAACGGCACCCATAGCTGCAAAGCCTTGAAAGCTCTTGGTGCAGAGACCTGCTTCTGCATTCCACCATCATACCTAGCCTGTGGCCAGCTCCTAGCTTCCCCAGCAGAGATACCCCAGCTTTGGGCAGAACTGGAGATACCTCCCAGGAGGAGGTGTCATGGCGGGATGATATAGGCAGCTTATGGAAGGAGGAGGCAGGAGGAAGTGAGCTCTGGGGTGGCTGACAAGAAGGGTGGATATTCACCATGAGAAGTGACAAGCAGGATGCCTTGCTCTGCTTGGGAATGGCCCAGGGAATCTGTTTTATGGCTGAGCTCCTCAGTGAAAAGTGTCACTTGTGCCAGCCATGTCCTTTCTCTCCTCAGATCCTTTTGTCAAAGTGCATCTCATCCTGAACAGGAAGAAATGGAAGAAGAAGATGACAAGCATAAAGAAAAACACCTTAAGCCCTTACTTCAACGAGGTGTTTGTTTTTGAAGTGCCTTTCAATCAGATCCAGGTGGGTTTCCCTGCAGCACCAGGGCAGAGTGGGTCCCCAGTGCAGCCAGCCCCCTCCTGCTGACCCTCTTCTTTCTTGTTTCCCACCCCCCCAGAACGTGGATGTGGTCATCTCCGTCTGGGATCATGACAGAGTGACCAAGAATGAGCCCATTGGCAAACTCTTCCTGGGCTGCCGGGCCACGGGCAACCAGCTGCGGCACTGGTCCGACATGCTGTCCAACCCGCGCCGGCCCCTCGCGCAGTGGCACAGCCTGCAGCCCCCGGAGGTGGTCGACAAAGCCCTGGGGCTGAAGTCCCACTTCAAGCTGCCCCTGCCCTCCAGATAGTTTGGGGGCTCAAGGACTTGAGGGTTTGCAGAGGGATGAGTGGCTTCTGCTCAGCAGCAACTAGCATGTTGATCTGGCTCATTGTTGGCAGATAGGGGTCTGGGTGCTCTTTTTGGCCAAGAGATGATCTGGCTGCTGGTGTAATGCCTGATTTGGCAACTCAGAGCAAGGCTGGACGTGGAGCAGAGGATGCTGGAGAGGACAGGCATAGGAACCAGCTCATCCCAGCTGCTCGTGGGCCGAGGGGACAAATACACAGAGCTTCAAGCTCATGCAAAAACACTGAGTCTGTTGATGTTTTTAAAGGAGAGAATTAATGTGCCAGCAGTTTGGGGTGGGCAATTTCCGTGGTTGTGTGTAACTCTGCAGGAGGTGAGTTCCTAGGAAGTTCTTACGTGTCTTGGGGAGACTTTTAAATGAGACCAAGATCTGGAAGCAGCCTGAGGCTTGAGAGGAGAGAAAGAGGATGAGCTGGTGAGGAAGGTGTTGGCTACCTCTCCTGTGCCTCTGTTATAAACATGATACGTGTCCTGGTTAGAGTCTAAACGAGACAGCAAAATCAACCACTGGTTGTCTATGTGGCTTCACTCTTAGCCCATTCCCAGTCCGTGCTGACTTGTGCACCTCAACATGTGACTCAGAGGATGGGACTCACCAGTGACCATCCCCACAGACCATGCAGATGATGAAATACAGTGTTGGCTCCATCCACCCTGTGTGGTTCTACTGTGCTGATGCAGCAAGGTTTGCCCCCCTGGCACCTTGAGGTGCTGCCAGGGTGGAGGGACTGAGGCTCTCACTTTCCTGCCATGATCAGATCAGACAACTCTGATGAAGGCTGGGTTGCAGCCCTCATGTCACTTCTGGGCAGATTTCATGTGATCTGGGAGGTTTCTGTGGCCATGTGTCCTGTCCTGCCCTGCTTCATGGGACCTTGGGGTGGAGGTACATAAGTAAAGAACCTGCCTAGAAGGGTGAGGACATAGGAGAGGTGCCACTATCGCTACCTCTCCTTGAGTACACTGCAGCTTGGGGTGGCTTAGGAGCAGCTCCTCTGAGCCATCTGTGTGAGGAAACTCTCTGCATTTGTCTGGAGGATGGAATTGACCTTGCTCTGAAATACTTCTGCTACAAAGCAGCCACAAAACATGGAAGATTTGGGTTCATATAATTGTATTTTTGACCAAAAGACAAAAGGAGAATATAATAATAATAGCTATTGCCTGGGCGCTGGAGGGGAGAGAGCCTGGCATGTTAATGAAGAAACATTAATATTGAAAAGAGTTAATCTGCAATTACTCAGAGCTGTACAGAGCGACCATCTGAGAGTTAAACAAACATGGTGAAGCTGAGGAAGATTATGAAAACTCCTCATAGAGATTAATTATCTGGGCTTAGCTATAAAAAGCTGCTGCATCTGCTGCTTGAAAAATACTCTCCAGGCTTCGCCGTGGACGTGATGAGGGAAGAAATGACAGGGTAGTTTCAAGATGGCTTTAACAAGTCAAGTGCTGGGGAAATAGCATCTGCTGAAGGCTGCTAATGAGATGGAGGAAGAAATCAGTCACCTGAGAAAAGGCTTGTAATGGGATCCTTTAATGTCTCAACCTTCAATCTTAGCCTTAAAACAGGTTGGAATGGGCTGTGCGGGAGGGAACATCTCTTAGTTGGGTTTGAGGTCTCAAGTCCATCTCCAGGTTGTTTATTGGTGAGACTGTGTGGTGACATAAAACCATGCAAGACCCAGAAGGACTTCTGGATATCTGGGGAAGGAGGGGGAAACAGTGTGTACGTGTGTCCCTTTTTTGAAGTCATGGCATTGAGGTTCACTGCATAATTTATGGAACCAGGCATAAAAACACATGCATATTAAATAGCAAAACAGATGTGACTGAAGAAGGTCCACAGACATTCCCTCCTTGAGAAACGTTATTCCCAATGCCACTGCTCCTCTCCAGCTTTGGCCCTACTCAGACCTGAATCACAGGCACAGTCCTGGACGAGCAGAGCTGGTGCAGGAAGCCTGTGGTGCTTTCTGGGGCAAAGTTGGGGAACCAGGAAGCAAGCACCCAGGTGGGCCAGCTCCATCCAGCCTGGGCTGAGCCTTTGTGCTGCATCACTCAGCAAACTGATTTGTTTGCTCAAGAGGGAGAGGCAAGTGGGTGGAGATGATGTCCATCCAGCTCCAGTTTTTAATGCACCACCACGGCTGCTTTGTTCCTCCATCCTTGCTTTTCCTTCAAAATTTGCCTCATGGTCTTTCAGCAAGGCTTTAAGTGATCTCTTCCTGATCCTGCAGGATCCTTTTTGAATATGCTGGTAGCTCTTTGAAGCAGATCTGGTGGAGCTGGGCTTCACTGTATGGCTTATTTCACCCAAAGTGAATGCAGCCCACTTGGGAGCTTGTTCATGGAAGGAGCACAGCCCTGTCTCATATGCAAACATGTCGTTTTCATGCACTTTTGGCCTTGACAAGGCCAGTTGCCCCTCATCTGCAAAGGCGAAACGTCTGAGCATCTCTTCCCTGACTGGTGCTTCCCGTGGGCCCATAGCAGGATGATTCCCCTGGTGGAAGATGCGAGAAGTCAACGAGGGGGAAACCAATCCCCCAGTTTGTGTCTGTGCTAAATTCCCCTGTCTGCACCTAGAGGGCAGGGCATGTACGTGCTTCAAACTGGGTCTGTGTCATCTGGTCTGTGGCCTCTGTAACAGCTTCATCAGCCAAGATTTCTGCTTCTGGAGATGGAAAGCTGTGATGCTGTGGTGAAAGCCTGTTCCCATTGTCACAGAGCTGTCTGACACCCATGTGGCAATGCTGGGGGTGTCCAGGTAGCTTTTTCTAGGTGGAAGGAGCCAGCCTGTGCCTGTTCCTGCACCACAGGGGCAAAAGGTAGGTTGAAGGGGGCAAAAGCAGGTGTCCAAAGCCAGTCTGCACAGTCCATTGTACCCGGGCAGCAGATAGGGAGTTTATTCCTCTGCTTCACAGAAGGAACAGTTCCTCTGCGTTTAATTACTACTAGCTTTGAAGGTTTGGTGGTAAGACAAAAGAGCAGGGCTTGGGCCAGGCTGAGGTCTGTGACAGGAGACAAGAAGTACATAAAATAGAGGTATTTGGTATTATTAAGTTTCGTAACCTCAATTATTTACATCCAGATCCAAGACTTCTGACCTCCAGAAGTCCCTCCCAAAGTGAATTTTTACCTCATTCCGTGATTTTTATGGTATTTATTCCTGCACTTCTGGAAATCAAACAGGAGAGCTGCACCAGGAGAAGGCTGAGCTGCTTAGATTCTTGTTGCCAGTCATCTGCTGTGAGACAAAAACTATTACAGGCTGTCATCGTTCAGCCTGGGCATGTGCTTGGCCATCCTCCAGCCACAGATTTTTTGGCTAGTCTTAGAGTTTTTGAGAGCTGGAGAGTGTCTAAGATTTTCTCACAAGGAGCAAGCATACCCGTTTGATAAATATTCAATAACTAGCATCATTATGTCTCGCTATTATGGCAAAATGTGTACTGTGCCATGCAACAATTTCTTTTTTAAAGTCCCAGCTCCTGCATTTGCAGATTCTTATGCAGGTTTGCAGCAGTTTCTTTTCCAGTGCTGCAGGGCGTGGGGAAGTGAGACCAGGCTGCCCCCAGACTCCAACCCCAGAGGCAAAGCGCTGGGATGCTCAGCTCTTGTTCCAGGCTCTGGCAAAGGAGCCTGGGTCCAGAAGAGGAGAGCGGACAATGACGGACAGAGGCCCCAGGAAAGGGTTGCCAGGTGGAGGGGGGAAAAGCTGGTACCCCAAGCTGAAGCAGGGGGAGGTGAGGGGCAGGAGCTACAGCCAACCTCGCCCTGCAGCCTGCCCAGGGCCACGCATCACAGAATCACAGAATCCTAGGGGTTGGAAGGGACCTCAAAAGATCATCTAGTCCACCCCCCCTGCCAGAGCAGGGTCACCCAGAGCACATCACACAGGAACTCATCCAGGTGGGTTTTGAATGTCTCCAGTGAAGGAGACTCCACA